ACGATAAAAAGTAAATGAGTATAGGTGACCATCAGGCCAAGGGATCAGGGATAGTAGTCTGTAGTTCTAGCTTTAACTTAAGCCTAAGTGGAAGGTTCTATCACCTTTTCTTACCTTGCTAGTGCTTCTGAAATATTGCAAAAACGCGATTTTTTGCCCATTTCACCACATTTTTCTCAAAATCTGGAGCTAATGAAAACTTTATACTTACGAATTCCGAATTCGTAATCAGCACAAAAAAGTCGATCAAAAACAGCGTTAACATTTGCCTCATCAAAATCGGTGTTGCCCTGTGTTACCTCTTTTTATAAGAGGTGATCTCGCGAACGGCAGTGCCGATTTTTTTTGTTGAAATTTTTGACACCTACTGCAGACTTTTAAAATATTAAGGGAGCGTGGCATCACCCATACATATCGAATTTTTCATACCGTATATCTCTAGAAGTATTTGTGGCGGTGTCCTGGAAATTGTTATAGATATTTTGGGGCTACTGGAAAAGGGGGCGTGGCGCTTTTCAAACATATAGAAACTTTTACCTATCTGTAAATATATACACTCAGAATACAGTGTTTCTTTCTTGTTTATAATAAATTTATTTGTTAATTTTTTATAGAAATATAGTTCATTTTGCATCAAATGGCACCTAATTTTGAGTATGCAGTTTTGTAGTTTACTCAATTTCAAGTTCAATTTTAAATGGTTATAGGTAAGCGTTGATTTTTGAGAATTTATGTTGCGCATTTTCTCCGTATAACGAATACGTGATAGTTTTTTTTGTATGCGGAAGAATGTCAATATGTAAAAGATTTATTCTGGTGGGTGAACTCTCCTAGACGACCGAAAAGATTTTAATGACACTTTTTTATGTGTTTGAGTAGGTCCCTGTATAGTTTAAGTTAACAACTTAAAACGCCAGGTGGCGCTGGAGTCAAGTTATTACTCAAAATCGTATTTGTGATCCGATTTGACTGATATTCGAGATATATATGTATTGGTAACGATAGGGGCAATATTATTGCAAAAGATGTGCAAGGGGCCGCTGGAACTCGGGTTATTGCCAAAAATCGTCAATTCGGAGGCACCGAGATCAAAGTCAAATTACCCCCATTGCGGTCCTTGCTTTACGATGACTAAACAGAATTTGGACCAATGATACTCACCAGTTTGGAAATTGCCACCAACTATATTATGTATACAGATTCAAGGACGATTCATCATCGAGCCACAAGGACTTCTTTCCGGTATAACGCTTTCCTCAGATTATTTAAGACACCAATGGAGGATATGCGATCTGTCGACCACAAAAGCAAACGTGAACGTGAAATGCTGGCGAAAACGTTGTACCAAATGTTTCAATAAAAAAAATTTATTTTGGGCGGGACGAAGTTCGCCGGGTCTGCTAGTCTAAAATAAAAATGGAAATCAGAACGACAAGTGTGGAGTAAGAAGTGGTAAACGGGGAAAGGAGCGGGTTTTTGTGCATTTGCTTGCTTGCCGAAAATTCGATATTTGAAATCGATTTGCTGATTGCAGATGGATTTTTGCAAACCTGTGTGCATTTTTCTATTTCAGCTAAGTTGAATAAGATTTTCTAAGGCAATATTTTGACGTTTCCGAAAGAGGTTATTTATATTTTACTAGAATAAAAAAAATTTTATAGTTTTTAATAATGAAAACGAGCAAAAGTATTAAACATTTTAGTGCATTAAAATTTTTTCATTAGCATTAGCTTGGATAATTTAATGAAAAAAAAAATTTTATTAGCATTACATTTTTCAGAATTAATGCATTGAAATATTCATTTGCATTAAATTTTATAAATTAATGCATTAATTTTTTACATTAACATTATTGCTTTAAATACAATTAATGCATTAAAAAATTAATGCATTTTTCACAACTCTGGTATATATTTACTTATGCACATACACATATATACGTACATACATATATGTATCTATCATCTCGTCGATTCAACTTCCTAATAATACGAATTCCTTGTGTTTCGCTGGTTTTATTTTAAGCATTAATGCGATGATTAATTTAAGTCAAGATATCTTTGAAAATTGTAAAGATTGTAGTAAATTTTATATTGTTAGGAAAATTTAATCAAGATGCACTTTACAATTTTTTGTTATAGAATGCGCAACTCAAGGCATTAATACGCATCCATTGGGCATTGAAAGTATATTGTTGTTCGTTTAGTTCCTATGAAAATTTTGAGACGGAAATTTGGGGAAAAAGATACAAACTGCGAAGATGATGAAGATTTGAATCTGGCTTGGAATATTGCTGACGACGATTCTTTGAAAAACAATTTCGGACCTTCAAAGCAACTTGCGGTGAATGTCGATGTTCCGGAAGAGCAATTTTCATGGGATATTGATAATCTTGAAAAGCACTTTGCTCTCACGGAAGGGGAATCATCGGATATCCAGGTTCAAAGGTAGTACGCAGGTTATTCAATTTACCAAAAATTATTGTCAAAGTCGGAATGTAAACCTTGTATTGACGCGATGGGGAACACTCCAGGTGAACTGAAACACCATTACGAAGCCTTGACCCGAGCTAAGAATTATGAAGAAAGTCCTGATGTGGGACTAGTTAATCCAACTGAGCGGATATTTGAAATATTGCGCATGAAGATGGCATGGTATAAATATTTATGTAAGTATTTCAAAAAAATTTGCTCATCCAGTTGGAATCCAAGGACAAATTGTAAACGCGCTTATAAAAAAAAATACATGAAGAATATCTGAATGGTTTTCAGGAGCCGGAGATTGTTTTGAACACCGAAAGCAGTTTTGGAATTCCATGGTAACCGTGTTATTGTTTAAAAACGCGAAAAGGGTTGGCTGGAGATACAGCCCAAGCAAACATGGAGCGTCTTAAATACTAAATTTAATGCCTTCTCAACAGCGTTCCGATTATCTGAATAGGTATATATATGGCTTGGTAGTCTCATAAAGTTGTAGATATTTAAAATAATAAAATTAGGCGTGTTTTATTCACAGGAATATGATAATATGCTTAAAATTTTTGAGCTGATGAATTTGGAGAAAAAAGATTTTTCAGAGTTTTGGATCGTGAAATTTTTTTTTCTCGGAGAACACGAATTGATCTAGTCAATCTGAGTATGAGGCATTATTGGTATGGCCAACAGCTATCAAACCTGATATATTCGCACTAAGGTTTTTTTGTGTTCCACAGTGTTATATAAGGGATACTTTGAGGAATTATATAAACAATTATACATTACCCAAGCTCACGTACATCCAAGTTCGAGTCATACAGCAAGCATTGACTGCTTTTCAATGTTTCATTTATTTGTTTTTGAAATTAACAATATATTTCAGAATTCATAATTAAAACGTTGTGTTCATTTTAGTAAATCCACTTTGATTTTTAATTGTACAAAATTTATTATATACATACAGTATCGATCATATCAATAGCAACCCCATTTCAAAGTGACAGTATTTCCCTCTCATGTTAATTTATATCTAAGAATTTGCAATAAAAATAAAGTTCAATTTCTAACAAAACCCATATAAACCCAATTTTATAACTTCGTAGAAAACTACAAAAAATACAACAAATTTTCACACAAAATTCACACTTTTTTCTCAGAAGTGTTAGAATTTTTTTGAGCACTCAGTTTTATAGCCCCTTCAATTTTAGTCTTATTATATGCAAGTTTGAAGTGGCTA